CGGGAACCGGCTGCCGGCTGCTTCTGGGGTGCAGCCTGGTCTGCAGTGCCAGGAGAGGCAGGAAGCTGCCTTCGCTTCCTTGTTGCACTGCTGCCCACGAGCCACTCACGGTAAGAACGGCCATAACGTGTCAGACCAAAGGTCCATCTAGCCCAGTGTCCTGCCTGCCGACAGTGGCCAATACCAGATGCCTGAGAGGGAGGAACCATAACAGGTAATCATCATGTCATCCCTCCCGTCACCCACCTCCAGAGAAACAGGCTAGGGACACCATTCTTACACATCCTGGCTAATAGCTATTGACGGACCTAAGCTCCATGAATGTATCTAGCTCTTTTTTGAACCTGGTAAAGTTCTATCCTTCACCACATCCTCTAGCAAGGAGTTCCACAGATTGACTGTGCGTTCAGTGAAGAAAAACTTCCTTTTGTTTGATTTAAACCTTCTGCCTATTAATTTCATTTGGTGACCCCTAGCTCTTATTTGCTGATTCCCACAATATAACTTTTCCTTATTCACTTTTTCCAAACCAGTCACGATTTTATAGACCTTTATCATATCCCCTCTTAGTCTCCTCTTTTCTAAGATGAAAAGTCCAAGTCTTTTTAATCTCTCTTCATATGGGACCCGTTCCAAACCCCACATCATTTTTTGTTGCCCTTTTTTGAAACTTTTCCAATGCCAAGATCTCTTTTTTGAGATGAAGCGACCACATCTGTATGCAGTATTCAAGATGTGGGCACACCATGGTTTTATACAGAGGCAATAAGATATTTTCTGTCTTATTCTTTATGCCTTTTAAAATGATTCCTAACATTGTTTGCTTTTTTGACTGCCTTTAAGGGGTCCGGGGCCGGGAGGGGGGCATAGAGTTTCCCTGGTGTTGGCCAGAGTGGCCACCAGGGAAACCTGGGAAGCCTTAGCCTCCCACTAGTTCGAATTAAGGGTCTACACAGCCCTTAATTCGAACTAGCTAGTTCGAACTAGGCTTAGTCCTCGTACAATGAGGTTTACCTAGTTCAAACTAAGCGCTCCGCTAGTTCGAATTAAGTTTGAACTAGCGGAGCGCTAGTGTAGCGCCTATTAAAGTTAGTTCGAACTAACGTCCGTTAGTTTGAACTAACTCTGTAGTGTAGACATACCCTTATTTAGTGAGATAAATATTATGATCTGTAAGTTGTGCTATCTATGTGTTCAACCACTATCACATTCTTTCCCCTATTTTCAATGTCTCATTATGGCTTATCTGTTTTCAGTTAACAAAAGTATTGTCATTCTTTTCAGTATAAATTGGATCCTGAATTCACAGGTTCTCATAGCAAATGCAGGGTGAATTTAAAAGCTAGTCTAAAAAATATCAAGGTCCAGATACCTGGTGGGTTTATACTACAACTGCTAAATCAAAGCCCAGAAAATTGATTGTAGCACCATCAATCTTCCATATAGTGTAGATGTGCCCTCAGAGTATGTCTACAGTAGAGGCAGGCATAAATCCCAGTTTGAGAAAACATGCCCACAATAGCTGGTACTGAGCTAGTGTACAGGAAAAAAAAGTGTTACCATGGCAACAACAACAATTTAAGGGGTTATCCACGCAAAATATGATCGCATTTGAAACAGTAGTTCTGTGCTGGGGAAGGCAAGCCTATCCTGTCTTTGCACTGCACTGTTAATTTTGGTGTGATCACTGATGAAAATTTAGGTTCCCATGGGACCACAGTAAAACACACCAAATAAGGAAGTTACTCACCTTTGTGCAGTAACGATGGTTCTTCGAGTTGTGTGTCCCCATGGATGCTCCATTGTTAGGGTCCCCATGGGCACTCCACTGTTGGTGGTGTTGGGTGGACCCAGCACCGCAGATTGGAGTTTTCCATTAGCAGTGGTTGACCACATATGTGCAGCATGCACTGAGCAGTGTTCGCTCCTTTTTGATGTCTCGCACAGTCCAGCTCCTGCAAGTTCCTCAAGTCCGCTCCAGGATCTGAAAGATAAAAAAAGGAGAATCCAAAGAGGGGAGAAGGGCAGGTACTGGAGCACCCATAGGGACACACATCTCGAAGAACCATTGTTACTTCATGAAAGTGAGTAACTTCCTCTTCTTCTTCTTCGAATGGAGTCCCCGCGGGTGCTCCACTGTTGGTGACTGTAGCAGTATCCATATAAATGGAAGGTGGGCAATAGAGCCAAGGTTTAGCTACAGCTGAGAGCGTGGGGTATCAAGTAGTGTTTTCTGAAGGTATCGTTGGTGGACCATGTGGCCACTTGGCAGATATCTTTAAGAGGAACTCCATGAAGGAAGGCTGTAGAGGTTGTCACCGCTCTTGTAGAATGAGCTCTAAGTGACTGGTTGTGGGTTATTTCATATAGCATAGCATTTTGTGATGCAAGTAGCAATAAGCTTAGCAATTCACTGTGAGGAGAGAGGTTGGCCCTTGGAATGTTCCGCTACTGAAATTAGCAGTCAGGCCGATTTGTGAAAAGATCATGTTCTTTCAAGTGATCCATGCACGTCTAATGAATGAAGTAGAGCTTCGTAACAAGTGGTGTGTGGTCTCAGGTAGAGAGATGGAAGTATGATTGTCTCGTTTATGTGGAAATCAGAACAAGCCTTAGGTATAAAAGATGGATGTGGATGTAATACAACTTTGTTATTATTGAAGACGGTATATTGGGGTACTGCCCTTAATACTTCTATTTCTCCAACCCTGTGAGTGGAAGTGATGGCCAACAGAAATGTAAATTTTAGTGTTAAGATTGAAAGTGGAGTGGTTGCTATGGGCTTGAAGGGAGCGTGGGTAAGAGTGTTGAGAACCTGCTCCAATTTCCATGTAGCAAGTGGTATCTGGTGTGGAGGGTAAAGGCTGGAAAGGCCTTTAAGTACTCTCTTGTTAGTAGGATGTGCAAATACTGAATGACCATCAAATTAATCGTGGAATGCAGTAATAAGTGTTAGATGTATTTTTAAAGATGCTATGCTCAGCCCTGTTTCTTTTAGTTGTAGGATATAATCCAAAATATCGTGTATAGGGGTGCTCTCTGGATCTATTCACTTTCCAGCACACCAGGAAAGGAACCTGTGCCACTTCTGAAGGTAAGTGGATCTAATGGATTATTTTCTGCTATTCAATAGCACATTGCTCGCTTTGCCAGAACAGTGGAGTTCATCTTCCTGGAACCAACAATGAGCCACGCCGTTAACTG